AGAGAAACAGCCTTTCAAGTTTACTTGGCCATAGTGTACGATGAAGTAACGTCGTTACTGTCGAGAGAGAAAAGTTAATTAATTGTTAAAATCTGGGGAACAATAAATCGAAGAATGAACTGTGCATCTTATAGTATCTGTACATACACGAAATGCATCTCCCCCATTTCCTGATTAGAACAATGTGATTACGTTGCGCATGTATAAATGGGAGGCGAAGAGATAATTAAATATCTCGTGAAAGCAGCAGAAACGAGTGACTTGTTTAAAGGAAAACGAAGAATATTTACAACTCTGACAATATTCGTTGACTGTATTATTAAAATATTAATTTATTATATTTTATCTTGAAAATAATTTCCTCTTGCTTCTATAGCAATGATTCAGTTGTTGAAAAATTTATTAATTGAATGCTCGTTATAAAGATTTCGTGCCAGAAGTCACAAACAGTACCATGTTCATGGTCTTGCTTCGAGACCAACACTTTCACTATCTGACTTGCCAGAAGCAGAGAACGATGACGATTCTACGAAAAATTTTAATACCGAATCTTCAATAATTATATGCAGCATTTACTAGTAGACAAATTTTGAGAAAGTACCTTATAATGGTTTTTGAATGATAAAGATTCGACTGTAGTCTGAGAGACACAGAAGATTTGAAACAGAGTGCACCACAGTTCAGGTGAAGCATTGCTACGACAGATTATATGGATAAACTGTTGGTAAAACCAGTTAGGAACCAGCTTAAAGGGGATATACCAATTCAAAACACTTCATCGTGAGGTTCCATCGCTGAAACAGTTTAATATTGATTTTCATTAACGTGATAGACCGTGTCCTTTGGTTAATGAAGCACAAGCATGAACATCATAATGTGAGACACGTGTAACATTATGTTAAGAAGGGAATTAATTTAGTAACATGGTATAAAAATGACTTTTTATCAACTTCTGTGTTATTTAAAATTGTATTATAACAATATGGTCAATGATTATTTATGTAACAATTTTTAAATTATAAGACATTAATCTATTTTTATTTATAAAACTTATTAGCAATTTAATAGTATCTTTATATAATACAATTTTGTGAAATTAGCATTCTAAATAAAGAGATAGTACACAGGGTAGAAGTAAGGAAAGAGGTAGTGTCTAGGCTTTCGTAATGCAAAGATGTTAGGTTCGAAACTCGGGTTTCTGTCCCCAAATTTTCAATCGTATATTTCTAAATTCTAATTACAATTTCTAAATTAATAGTAGTTAACAAGTTTGTTATTTAATAAAATTGTACAGTCCTACAATTATGTGTTGCCTGTGTATTATTAAAATCTAATACAAAGGTGTCAAAGGGACTAAAAGTATCCTCCAGACCGAGATTAACTGATAAGTTCGTAATCGTTTGAATAGGTACGGAAGGAATGTGTTTCGGTTACAATTTTTTTTTGTGGATTTTGTAGAAGCATCTTGAAAGAAGAAAGAGTTAAACTTATCAAATTATAACGACAATTTCGCTGACTTGTTTTTCAACTACGTCAAGAGTACGCCCATAAAATTTGCAGTGATCCGTTTCTTATTTATTACTAAATGTTATCTACTTTTGTTTAAAAGAAGGTCCAATTATATGTATTTGACGAATTATCTGAAACAGCCAAATGCATAGTGTTAATCTGGCGACGATAACGTTGATAAGCGACAATTTTAGCTCATTGACAAAATAAGATGCTCCATATCATTTTCCCTCTGATAATGCATTTTATGCATAAAAATAATGTCAATTTTATTTATTAATAATTTCGCACGCTTTATTTATTTCGAACAGTTTATTTTACTTACTCCGGTTTATCGCTTTTCTGTATTTTGTGCCTGTTTAAAGTTCCAAGAACGACTATATTAACTTTACACTCGTTTCATTTAAATTTCACGCGATACGTGACTAATTCCATCGTTCACGAGTAAACGAAAACGTGTTGCAAGAAACGGTGAAAAACCTATAAAATGTCTACTTCTAAAATACATCGATACACCCCCACAATGTTGGACGAGTTTCGCAACGTGTTGAATAATTTTGTAAAAAGGGGTCAAGGATGTACCCTAAATCGTGATCCAGTGATCGAACTTCGAATAATGATATAGCGATATTTTGATCTATACGTGGAAAAACAAGAGAAAGTATAACATGACTAAAGAAGTTTTCCTCGCTAATGTAGCCAGAATCTAAATCCATTTGGTACTCTATATTAATTATCATAATGCTTATTAAAGAAAGTATTATACATGCTCAACACGTAAAGCATGAGAACTAGTTATCTTCAAATACATTAAAGTTAATATGTAAACGTTTTAACACAAAATTAATAGATTAGAATCATGTCTAATCAATATGTCTGCTAATTATATCGTGGAATAGATTTCATTAAAGCATATAATAAGATTTTATTTCTATGTTCAATCTAAAACGTATATCCATTAGCCAGTAAGTACAAGTTTTTCCTTTTTACTTCAGATCCATTTATTTTCTACTGGACATAATGTTTCCTGGTTAACTTCCTATTTAATTAAGAGAAGTATATTACCGTTTATTTTTATATAGAAAGCATCACGTATCAGTGATGGCAAATAAAAGAGTTCCAATGAAAGGAAATGGGAAATTGATCCAGCATGAATCAGGAAGTAAAATATTTGAAGTGGCAATTTAAAACGTTGCCCCGTTGTTATGACTAGCGGTAAATTTGTCATACGTGGACATCGAGATGGAAAAGGAATTAATTACGGATATGAGTCACGCTTATCCGCTACAATTTGCATTTTAGTTCATCGTTTAACTACCTGACGCACAAAAGTGTAACTTATTAATCCGTTTAGTACTGTAAGAAGATTCTTACACAAATGCATCTGATGCATCTTTTAAGATAATCACATAATGAAAGTAAAATTTAAAAATTAACACAAGAATAAAGCATCTTGATAATCTCTGCGATTTAAGAGAAAAAAAAGGAGGAATATTAGATTGGTCATTTAGACCGGTTCTAGTGCTAAAAAAATTCCTGAATAATCAAATCTTCGTGTTAATTTAAATATACAAAAATGGCTTGTTCTTGAATGTAAAACAGATTGTCGTCTGAAAATCAGAGTTTAATTAAGCAATTTAGAATCAGTAGTAAATTGCTGAGCAGAAGAAAACGACACCTCTGGCAATGTATTGATGCGATCGTAAAGTGTAAAAGGTGTCCATTAATAATTAATGATCAATATCCGTAACAGACAGGCTTGAATTATGTGGTAAACACCAGCTCGACAGATTGAACGTCTAAAGTCTAGATACTTCACTTCCAGGTGAATCATTAAATTAATAAAAGACAAGTATTTTTATCACTTATTAAAATTTTCTGAAGATATAGATGCTCGAATTTGAGAAAAATCAAAAATACTATTAATGAATATTACCTTGTTTTCCAAAACTCAGTCACACAGTATGTTTACACAGTAATATGTGAGACTAATTTAGCACGTATCGCAATTTAAATAAAACCGCGATAAAGAGGCTGTTCTAGATACGGATGTTTATTAAGATCTAAAATAGAAAAATTTCACTATTTCAGATAAGTGGAATCGTCTAGCATAAATAGCATAAAATAAAAATAATTTTTAAGAAAAAAAGAAATTACCTGACAATTAAAGCGTTTAATCAGTATTAATAAACATGTATATATTTAGATTTGTTGATAAGATTCTTTGTTTATTAATTCAAATCTAATTAATATACTGAAAATATTACTGAAAATTGCTTCGAACTCACGAGAATCGTGTATGATATTTAGGAGAATCATTCTTGAAAGACATTGTCAGTTCTTGGAAAAGAAGACGTCACGATCTTCTGTAATGTTTACCAGTAACAACAGAGATAAAATGCGTAGAGTAGCTATTTATGAGATTTCTGCACGATTCTATAATAAAAATGCGAATGAAGCGTCTAACTGTCTCGTGCTATATCACAATTGGCTTTGTTCCAGAAGATTTCGAGTGCGATACATTGTTCTTACAATTAAACGAATGATTTCCTTCAAGGAACTTGATATTTATCATTAAAAAGTAAACGAACAACATGTTTACACTGCTTAACATAAATATTAATTCAGTAAATTATATAATTCTTCTTTTCGTCGTGTGAAGATTTTAAGTTTGTAGTGTAATTAGAAATCAATTTTTCTAAAAATCAAATGGAACGTGTAGTTAATGATAAAATGTGGAACTGAACATTAACAGAGGTTCGTGAACGTTCTAAATTCATTAATGCAGAAAAAGAGATAACTGGCTACGACATAAAGGGAACAACACGATTATTACGCGGGGATACGTATTTACACGAAGTCTATTCACCTCGGAGTCCATCCCTCTCTTGCGCGCTCATCATTCGGTATTATTTTTGCTTCAAACCAGAAGCAACTAAAATTAAAACAAACTTAACAGCGAGTGTGGTAAATCTAAGATAACTGTTGGAAAGAAATTTTTTGTTACTGCAAAAGTTGATGAAGAGTTAATAAAAAATGATATAGATCATTAGCGTAAAATAAAATTAATTCGAAGAAACAAAATAAAAAAATAAATGGTTTATAACGGAGAAACACCCCTTTATCAACCACGTTTTCATCCCTGGTGGGGATCGAACCCACGACCTTTGGATTAGAAGTCCAACGCGCTATCCTCTGCGCCACAGGGACTTGGTGGTGTAACATTTCTTATAGTTATAGATCACTGCCATAATAAATTTAATCATAGATGTCGCTAACATTCGCAAAGTGTTTTAGCTACAGTATGTGTGAAAAATAAACTATCTCAATGTTAAAAAATATCAATATTAAACATATCCTGAAAATATGATATTGGTATTCTTTACAGCATGTCTGTCTTTTAATACAATTCAGATTATATATAAAATATTTTCTTCTGTAGTTACAAGTAAAATTATATATCTGCGTAGTTACTGATGAGACACCCCGTATGATACTTTCTGTCAACCAGTGACGTATAAAAAACAAAGTTGAAATAATCGTAACAATAGGCGCAAAAATGTCGGGTATAAGTTAATATTTGATATATAAAAAGCACGTTTCGTTAACGTTAGTTCAACCACAAGTATATCGTTCATCAATTGTAATCAGATTGTTCATTTCGGTTTCATAACCTTTTCGAACTTGAAATGTTTGCTGCACTAAAGCTAACAAGTAGATTTACGTATATATAAAAATACTATCTCAAGGATTATGTTTTATTATTTGAAATGAATAGAGAAGTTTCTAATAATCGAGGTCAAAATAAATTTAGGCGATAAAATCAATCATATTTGATGGAACTTTCTAGAACTTGTAGTAATTAGCACTAGTTATAGAAAATTAAAAATCTAAAGTAATTAAAAAGTCTAAAAGTATTCAGTTACATAAATAATCATACAGCCCTGTGTTGCAACTCATGTAGTCAACACAACCAACTCCGAATAATGACATATACACGAATGATGTCTGCTCCATTTGCAATTGACGTTTTATCTTTGTATTATAATTTTAAGTGAACGATAATGAATTAAACGATTAACTACTCGCCGTATATTTTGTGTTAGACTGTCGTTGATAGAAAACTATATAAGTCGTGAACGAAGATTGTGTAAAATAAAAAAGTATGTGCGACAGATGAAAGGAAAAGAAAAGCACAGCTAGACTAAAGGTTCGTGCGTGCATTTGTTTTGTTACTGTGTGATGCGACGAAGAAAAGAAAGGGAGAAAAAAGGAAGAAAAAGATAGAATAAAACATTGGGTGAGCAAGAGGAAGGGGCTAAAAAAGATGGCCGTCTCGAAACATATGACAAAGAACGGCGGGCAACCGCCGCTGCCGAAAAGAATTTTCGCGGAACGTGTTTTACGATATCGTTGATTCGACGTCCTCGTGTCGAGGTGTGGTGTTTATTCGTATAAAGGGATCGTGGCTACAAAAGTCAGTGATCCTGTTAGCAAAAGAGCCATGACTACGTGTAAAGAATGGGCTCGATCGCATCGGTGTTGCAGTGGCATTGCTCGGAGTGCGCTCTGATAAATCCAACGGAGAGCACGCGATGCGCCAGGTGTGGCCTTACTCGGCTTAAGAGTGATGAAAAAGCAAACTTCAGGCTAAGCCTGAGCTTGGAACACAAAGTTCCACGGCAAAAAGGTGAAAAAAAGAAAAGGGACAACGAGGAATGTAATACTTCCTCAGTGTCCGCTCCGCCGACACCTTCGTTGAAAGTCCGCCTGGATAAACCAACAGCGGACGATACGCGTCTGGCGGTTAATGAATACGTCAAAACCGATCTCATACATCGGTGAGAAAATTTGTTAGCTCGTCTCCCTCCGTAGCTCTTCTCCCCTCTCTCTTTACCCATCCCCCTATCTTCGATTTCTCGTGTGTTTGTACACAGTCTGTCAGATTCACAATTTTCAATACTCTTTCAATTCTTTTGGTACTCCTTACCCTTTTTCAAATAAAGTATTTTCCAATGTAAATTTGCCCTTGCTTTCTGCTGGCCAAAGTCAGTTTACAGCATGAACAGTAAACCGACAAGATTTAAGAACTAAAGTTTATTCGTTGCATGTTCCTATAAGTTCTAATGCATCCAAGAATACCAGCTTTCTTTTGCTGCTATTATATTCACAAATGTACTCACCACTGGTATATCGCTAACTGTTGTATCGTTTCTTTTAATTTTCAGCTCAGAAGGAAATTTAAGTGTACCTAATAATCATACAAGCAAATCTCATCATGACCTATGGAATGGAAGGTGTTATAAAAAGGAGCCAATTAAGCGATCTTCTTCTCTACCTTCAGTAGTAACACAATGGACTTGCGTTCGTTGTTTATCAGAGAACAGTTGCAGTTCAGCTGTAACTTGTGTAGTTTGCGATGCTAATTATTCAATATCTAAAACTGATAAAAAGCAGATCGGAGCGCGTAAAAGTAGAAAATTAAATTTACGGAAAACGAATCGTCTGAAAACCACATCTGAGCTTTTAGCAAATATTTTGGATGGTTTTAACGCGACAAGTATATCTATAAATAATGCAAGAGATATTAATAAAGGTGCATATTACGTAAATATAAATATTACCGGAGGAAAGTAATGTTATTTAATAGCGTTTCGTTTATGTTCGACAGATATGGCACAATTAACGAGTATAAGTCGTAATGAAAGGAGACAAATCGACAGGGAAGATTGGACTTTACCACCGATAGAGACCATGGATTCTACTACACTTTCCTATACGAATACCAGCAATACCTCTCAGCGTTCACCAAAAAGACATAGTCCTTCGATATACGAACGAGTTAAATCTAAAGTTAGTCGCTCTCTATCTAATGGCTCTGTTGTACATAAATTATCGGAACATTCTACTCAAAGACCAACAAGTTTAGTAGTAACAGATTCCCAGCAAGACGATGCCCTTTGGAGTTGCGACAATTGCACTCTCGACAATGCACCTGGCCTAGAACAGTGCGAGGCGTGCGAAGCTCCTAGAAGTCCAGCGCCTTGCAGCGGAGTAGTTATCAGTGTACCTGCTTGGGAACCCCGTGCTTTATCTTCTGCAAGTGCACTATCTTATAGACGATCGTTTTCCGACATTGAATCTGTTGCACATGTAGCTGAAAAAAAAATTGTCAATCGTAGAAGTCTGAACGAAGATGAGCCTCCGGCGGTACCACCACATTCGGTTGGTTTCAGTACAAGGCCAAAGTACTCTTACATTGGAATTACCGATCCCGATATACCGCCACCGTTACCAAAAAAGCAGAATAGTAAATTGGGTCTTGTACCGACAAAAGCGCATAGCGAGGCAGCTAGTCCTGTTGGAGATGTACCTAATATAAGCTCTCTAAAGCGTATGTGGACATGTCGGAAATGTTCTTACGCGTATAATCCTCTGTGGTCGGCTGGTTGCGATATATGCGAATCATCTCGATCACCACCTTCGCTAACACAGCCTAGTTTAATAACAGTCACAAAAGATGAAACAAGTTGTTCCATGCATACACAGTCTCCGATCGTTGTATCTAGAGATAGCGTTAGATACATTCCACAGAAAACTGCTACATTGGCCACGGCTGAATCCGATTTAGACGATCAGATCGACCCACCTTCGCCTGTATGGACTTGTAAAAAATGTACCCTCTTAAATGCCGCTTCGAGAACAACGTGCGAAGCGTGCGGTGGCTCGAAATTAAAAAGTATTATGCATTTAGAAGATGCAACGTTACGGAAAGGCGAGAGTTGGGTATGCCCGTCGTGTACATTAAGAAATCCGCTATCAGCACAAACCTGTAACGCTTGTAAAACGTTGGCTGATTTTCTGGAAGTACCGAAAGATAGTAGATTCTTCGGCTCGAGAAGTCCAAGTCCAAGGCTTTGTTCGACTCCTATAAACTCAAAAGTTGTTACTCCGAGACACAGAAATTCTGTTAGGAGAAATGGTTCTTCGATTGGGGATAAGAGACATTCAAGGATTAAAGATTCTACTCATGGTCAAGTACGATTACCTTATGATCAGTCCTTTTTTTATTGTTATTTATTTGATTTCAATTAAACGTTTATAATATGTATCGATTTTTTCTAGTGGCAGTGTAGACTGTGTACATATGAAAATAAGACTACTAATGGAATCTGTGAAATGTGCCAAATCTCAAAAAATTTATCTCAGCTACTGGGTGAAAGGCCTAGAATTATCGAATCTGGCACAAGCACGCTCACAATACAACGTCAGGAAAGTGTAGTTATGGAAAATTTAAGACAACTTGAAGAACGAGAAGCGTTGGAGAAATGGGAACGAATTGTTCGATATTGCAAAGAGGTATATCGTTTGGTTAACACGAACGAAATTGAATGTTTTGTTTTCATTTTTAAATAAAACAAATATGCATGTATTATGTTAATTTTCATTTATAATTTCCTTTTTTATCCAAACGTGTTGGTATAATAAAAAATGTTTCTATGTTATCTATTTATTTTATAGACGAACGAACCTTTTGTCGACGACTCGTTTCCACCGGCTCCAAAATCATTGTATTATAATCCAGCAGAAACGAAAGACAACCATGTTGTTCAATGGAGAAGGCCTCATCAAATTAACGTTGATTCTACTGTCGATTCCAAACTGCCTTGGGCTGTTTTTAGAACACCCTTACCTTCTGATATCTCACAAGGTGTATTAGGAAATTGTTGGCTACTTTCGGCTTTAGCTGTTCTAGCTGAAAGTGATGAACTTGTAAAGAGAGTATTAGTAATGAGAGAAACGTGTCCAGAAGGAGCTTATCAAGTAAGATTGTGTAAAGATGGAAAATGGACCACAGTACTCGTTGATGACTTGTTACCCTGTGATAAAAGAGGCCATCTAGTATATTCTCAGGTTAATAAAGTAACTAAAATGTATTTTTAATTCAACTTTGTAATTTTAATTAAATATACATGTATAATATTATAGGCCAAAAGAAAACAACTTTGGGTTCCGTTAATTGAAAAAGCAGTGGCTAAAATTCATGGTTGCTACGAAGCTTTAGTATCTGGACGTGCTATAGAAGGTTTAGCTACACTTACAGGTGCTCCTTGCGAAAGTGTGCCTTTGCAACCATCTGCTTTGCCGAGCGAAGATGAACTTGACAGGGATTTAATATGGGCGCAACTTTTGTCTTCGAGGCAAGCTATGTTTTTAATGGGTGCTAGTTGTGGAGGAGGCAATATGAAAGTCGACGAGGAGGAGTATCAACGTAAAGGTTTAAGACCAAGGCATGCCTACTCTGTTCTCGATGTGCGAGATGTACAGGGAATAAGACTGTTGAGACTGCGTAATCCTTGGGGTCATTATAGCTGGAAGGGTGATTGGTCTGATGATAGTCCTATATGGACGCCGCAGTTAAGAGAAATGCTTATGCCGCATGGTGCATCCGACGGGGTTTTTTGGATTTCCTTCGACGATGTGTTAAAATATTTCGATTGTATTGATATTTGTAAAACTAGAGTTGGATGGAGCGAAGTTAGATTACGTGGAACACTTCCGCCTTTATCTTCTCTTCGACATTTATCCTGTGTACTTCTAACAGTATTGGAACCTACTGAAACGGAATTCACGTTATTTCAAGAAGGACAAAGGTACATCCATTTACTGCATCAATTTATTTCATTGTCCAACGTATTTGGTTAACTTGATATCATTACTCGTACATTTAGGAATTCGGAAAAATCGCAACGATCTCAGTTGGATTTGTGTGTAGTTGTTTTTCGTACACGTTCACCAGCAGCACCGGAAGTTGGAAGATTAGTAGAGCATAGTAAACGACAAGTACGTGGGTTTGTTGGATGTCACAAAATGCTAGAAAGGGATTTGTATATTGTTGTATGTTTAGCATTCAATCATTGGCATACAGGAATGGAAGATACTTCCAGTTATCCTGAATATGTTCTTGCCATTCATAGCTCAAAAAGACTTTTAGTTGAACAAATTTCTCCACCGGCGTTCGTCTTAGCCGATGCTATTATAAGTTTAACTCTAGCAAAGGGACAGCGGCACGAAGTAAGAATTAATTACTTGTGTAAATATTATGTATTTAATTGTAAAAAACACTGGTACCTTCTCCTAATCGAACATTCACAAAAATATTGATTTATCCAATTAGGGAAGGGAAGGAATGACTGCTTATTACTTAACTAAAGGCTGGGCTGGACTTGTAGTAATGGTAGAAAATCGTCATGTAAATAAATGGATTCATGTAAAATGTGACTGCCATGAAAGCTATAATGTCGTGTCCACTAGAGGACAACTCAGAACTGCCGATAGTGTTCCCCCGCTTCACAGGTAAAACAGTGGTGCTACTCATTCTTAAGAATTTCATAATTATATAATTATCAATTATAATAAATTCATTATAGACAGGTCATCATAGTTTTAACACAGTTGGAAGGTAGTGGAGGTTTTTCAATAGCACATCGACTTACGCACAGATTAGCTAACAGTGGAAATTTACATGACTGGGGCCCGCCGGATACTCAACATTGTCCTCAAATTGACACCGAAGTCGAGGGTTTACACAGCCCTCGTTTAATCACGTGAACAAGTTAAAAGTGATTCACAAGAGGATAGGACAATGTTTAAACGTATCGTTTGTCAAGTAAGAGATTTATTATGTACTCGTGATATTCAGAAATTTATTAAAACCAAAGCAAGCTAGAAAGATTTTCGGTACAGACTCGAATCGCGTGCCGGAAGTCGTAACACATTTTGTGCTTTCTAGCTATTCGTATTATATGAAAAAAAAAAAAAATTTTTAGCATTATGACAAGCTCACTATTGGATATAATACAATAATTAATGATTAATATACACAATGATTCTGAGATCAGTGGTTAGAAATATTTTTTTTTAATTAGATAGAAATTATTCATTAGAACTAATGAAAATGGAATATACTTTGAAACTTGCGTGCAAATTAAGCATTTCTACGGGAACCATTGATCCATAAAGAAGACTTAAGAAAAATTAAATATTTATGGAAGAACAAATTAAACACATTGCTTGTTATATAAAACAAAAAAAAAAAAATTATTTTCTCAATGTAACATATAAGCATCATAAAAAATAACAAAGCGTAACAGTTATACAGTAATAATATGTAAAATGAAATAAGTAACAGCCATTAATGATGTATAAAAAAAAAAGAACATATACACTCTTTTTGGAATTGCTTAGTGTATGATATAACTATGGGTCGAAATATTTTCAGTTTTCACATCTTACAAAAGTCGATCCTTTTTTCGAATACATCAAGCCATATTCAGAACCCGCATTTAAAAAGATACATACAATATATCGTGCATCGTTGAAAACAATTGTTACTGACAATGTTTAAAATTTGTCTGATCTATAAATGGGGAGTTAAGAAAAGAATTCTTTGATTGCTTAAATGAGGATTTTTGAATATCGGCCAGGTTGTAAAACTTATTTCCTGTATGCTTTTGTTATTTCAATTTTTTAACTGGATGAAGTGCTTGTGCTACAAATGGATGCAGCGTGTAGCTACAGAACCAAAAATCTCTCTTGAAAGTTTTACAGTATATTGACGCGTTCACTGCCATTCTGTGTAATGTACATTTGACTTTATTATTGTTAAATATTTCTGTAGTAAATTATTATCATCTTCATGGTTGCTAATTGTTGTAAGTACCTTTTAGTTCATTCATAATACATATCTTGCATTTTATGCATACGCAAGCGTGGCAGTTAACGGGTTAGTCAGTTTTATAGGTGATGTATATTTTATAATCATGACATTGGAATAGGTATCTACAAGTGTGCACGGGTTTTTCTTTTTACATTTACACAGTTATGTTTTATTTCTAAAAAAAATTATCAAATAACGAAGATATCACTTTTTTTTTTTAATTTTAAATAAGGGGTCATTACTTAAAATTACATTCCCTCTTTTAAACGATAAAATGACCATACAATCATGATGAATGGATGTTAAATATATAGTTTTCTTTGTTATAAAACTATTTAAATTACCGCAAATTATTATATTGGTTTTTTAATTTAATGTTAAGAGTTTATAAAAGAATTAGAGTAAATTAAATATCTTCGTTATTGTTAAATGCTGTTCGACATTCAAATATATTAAATGCAATGTATGTCAACTTACTTTTAGCTATTTCTTTGCACGTACTAGGCAGAGTGTTAATATAAGTGAAGATCTCCGTACTAAATTTACGCGCTAAAACAATGAGAAAATTTGTATAATCTTGTATCTAGAGTTGTTTGAGTACTTGAAATACTCGATATAACTTGCAATGAAAATTCAATTAAAAGGCAGAGTTGTGTATAAAATTATACATTTTCCGTGTGTAAATTAAAAAAATGAATGTGTTGTTTTAATTGTTGTATTAATTTAAAAGGTATATCTAATATTTATTGATATTTTTTATAGAGGATAATTTAAAAAAATGAGTAAACACTTGCAGATACAAGTTTATATCAGTGTTTCTTTGGTATTTATTCGTATGAAATTTCAGCGAATATTCGATTTAATATGGGTAGCTCAATATTTTGGCTTTAATGTTAAACTGCCATGTTCTGAGTAATGATAAAATTGGCACTGAAACATTCTTTTTAATGGCAGTTGGATCTGATTGAAAGTTTAATATTTTGTATGTATATTAAATGTGGTGATGTGACAATATCTAATGCTGTGATCAGCCAATGACGAATTTTGTCATTAAAATGTCAGTTAAGAAATGTCCTGTTAAATGAAAAGGCAGCGTGTGTATTATTTCAATAATAGTACAAAATGACTATTTATACTAAGTGCATTTGTTTTATTCAAATGCAACAGAAAGAAACAAGTTATACATATGAGCATTGTGAGACTTAATTGGCATTAGCTCTTTTTAAAATTAGATGAATTACACATTAATATGGATATATAAACTACAAGTGAAACATTCCTTACATTTACTTCTTTTTTTAATATTTACATTAATATTAACATATTCTGGTTCTAACATACTTAATTCCTATTTTTCGAAATTTAAAGCAAAAGCAATATAAAGTTTCTGACTTTCTATTTAGATTTTTAAACAAACGGATCTAATTATCATTTAAACATGGCCTAATAATTCAAAGTTAGTTTTCTATCGATTCGTTATTAAAAAAAAAAAAAAAAAAAATCCAGCTATTACTGTAGACTCTATATTGAATGGCCTTCATTTACAGACAAAAGCATTTAATACAACACGATAACTTTCTAAAATTAGCAGATACATTAAATTACCCCAATTAATTTAGTTCTAATCAACAGATTCGACTGCTATGTGTGAACTGGTAATTCGAAACATTAATTCAGTTATGTAATTGTTAAGAATTTTAGTATATGTATGGTTGCTGCACATGCACAAATTCAAATACAACAACCATAAGATAGAATATTTGATTACTCCTGCTTGTCTTACAACATAACTTGCATCTGCATAATATTGAAGTAAATTATTTTTAAATGAACCTTAGTGCCATACCAAAGCATAAGAAGAAACCAGAAATGGATAGATAATTAATCATGATTTTATAGATGCTCATTTTGTTGTCACAATGATATAGTAATTTTTCTCAACCAAAAAAAAAAAAAAAATACTCTATTTTAAATATTGTACTAATACTAAAAAAAAATTATATTATAAATAATGTTTCCATTCTATGATATAACACATGTGGCTCTGATGCTGCTATCAGAATAATGAATACAACATAAATATTTAGCGTTTAGATTTTGATTGTTAACACTTAAAAAGAGAAAAAAAAAAATTCTGGAAGTATGAGATGCAACTATTACTCTGAAAGCAGCAATTGAATTTGAGTATGCACAATGCTAAGGCAAATACAAGTGTGTTTGGTATTTTAGAAAACTATCTTCGTGGATTTGAACATTTTAGAAACAATTCAATTTGTACATAAAATGAATTATTTATTACATTGACGGATGGGAGGGTGGCTGATTAAGTTGTACATTGCTTGTGGTACACGTAAGTTGTTAGCTTATATATTTCTGTTAAAACAGTGTTTAAACAAACTAAATAATAAATGGTAGAGAATTACATATAAAAGGAGGAAAAAAAAATCAGTAATGTATCGGAATTAAAAGATCGTCGGTGATGTGCGAAGTGCATAAATATTTCTTTTATTTGCAGTGCCACTAATTTCGATTGATTTATAAAACTATGAAACAATTTGAATTCAAAATATAGTTTGCCGGTTTTAGTGTATTATACTTAGCATAGAAAGAAAATGAAACAAATCGCACGCCATCGCAAAGTACCTAGGAAATATATTCTTAATAGGTATTGCAAAGAAGATTTTTTTAATCTACGGTATCTCATTGTATTTGTAATTACAGAGTATAATATTGCGATGTCATTTTACGATTAAGTAACTCGTACTCTGTACGATATTACGTACCGGGTGTATTCTAAACTGCATACGAGCGTTAAACATGATCGTTTCCTTTTGTTTTAAATGAGACTGAACTATTTAAATGTTCATGGAAAATGTTAATACATAAAATTACTGACAAGAAGGATATTAAAAGTAATTTCTGAATTAATTAGTGATAATTAAAAAAGTCTTTTTAGATGTGTTTTTTTAATCTACGCAACTGTGATCATTTTAGAAACGCCCATGTACGAACCCGAACCAGCAATCAACTTTGTGATAGTCTGTGTACTGATCTGGCAAACTTTGTTGAATTGATCCCATTTCCTATAGATGGAATATATAATTAACTAGAACATTGGCGCGTACACACAAAGAAACCATTTACTACTTTATGAAATAATAAAGACATTGTATTGCCCTCTGATTTATATCATATAGTAGTGTAGGTATATTTAATAATAAATCGAAATAATACCTAGAACTTATTCATCGTTCAGTTTCAAATTAATAATTGTTCAAGTTTTTTTAGAACTAATTATGTATCGTTTCTATTTAATTTTAACGTCAACATTAATTTTGGAGTTCCTTTCAATTTTTAAAATTGAGATATGCGCAGAACGGTCCAGAATAAACGACATGCGCAGAACGGTCCAGAATAAACGACATGCCTTTGTTTTGGAGGGTCATGCTGTTTAGGGGGTTCTAAAGATCCCCAGGTATGTACATCTCGCGGGGTATGCATAACATAAGTCATTTAATATCGCGAAAGAGATAAATAATTAATATAAATCAGCAGGATATTTATGCATAAAAGGTATAATTAGAGAGACGCCGTGCATAATGGAGGGTGTATGCAAACCTAACTCGCTTGAGGATCTTTAGGACCCCAAAATCATGACTCCTCGAGAACAAATATGTCTAGTTCTTTTCTGTATCTGTAGTCACTGGTCACTGTTTACTGTAGGCACGTTGTATCAATGATGTTTGAATAACCTCTACTTTGACTTGTTTTAGTATCGAGAATGAATATGAAAGTTTAGTGCTTAAAAATAAGGTATACGCAGCGTTTACTTTCGTTATTATTAATTGTACATAAGAAGTATGTCGTTTTCTTTTGGAACACCTGCAACTACCACCAATACAGGTTTTGGATTTGGTCAGAAGTAAATATGTATAATTTTTATTTTTCTATCAAATAGTTTAAATGTGATAAGATTTGAACAAGGCATCTGATCATAAAAATGAATCATAATGTTTGTATTGTTATGTTAGACCAGCAACAGGTTTTAATTTAGGTGGTACACCTTTCGGTTCCACTAACACAGCGCCTACATTATCTTTTGGAACTTCTTCAACACCAACAACAACTACTGGGCTTAGTTTTGGATTTGGTAGCACACCTGCAACTACAGTTCAGGCACAACCAACTGGTTTATTAGGTTCTAATACAACTACTACAACATCTGCTACTGGCTTATTTCCTGTTTCAACTACTTCTGCACCATTGTTTACTGGTCTTAATTTTGGGGCACCAGCAGCAAGTACTAATCTAACATTTGGTACCCCATCTGCTACATCTACAGCTGGAAACCTCAGTTTTGGTACATCTACTACTTCAAGTGTGTAATATTTGTAAATTGAATGCTATTATTAATGAAAATATGTATTTATGTATATGCATGTAACGGTATCTATTCTTAGCAGCACCCCTTTTTGGTGGATCTGTTAGTGGTGGTAGTTTATTAGGTGGAAAATCAATTGCTGGCACTACTGTTACTACCACTACCACTAATAAAGGATTAGGAGGATTAGATGTATCTATAAGCAATAAAGGACTTTCACAAGGAAATAGCAATACAGCAGCAGCTAAAGATAATATTTGGGCACCGGAATTATTACAGACAATAGAAAAATTCAAGTAATTGTTATATAATGAAGAAAATGCATTGAAACTATTATATATAAAATTGATTTATTATACCATTTTAATTACAGGGAGTTTGTAAAAGAACAGAAAATGTTATCTTCAGAGATAGCAAGAGGTTCTGCGCGGCCATTAACTAGATGCGCCGAAGATACAGCTTCTTTGATGGAAATTTTGACCACATTAGGCGGGGCTGTTCAGCGTGATCGTTGTGCTGTCGATAAATTAAAACAAGACACAGCTAAAGTATTGCAAAGTGCTGAAATATCACAAAGAACGCACGATACCCCGCCGGGATTACAGTACGAAAATAATGCACCATTATTGTTTTTCATGGAATTAGCTGATAACTTTGAACATGATTTAATGTTATTTAAATCACAAATCGAAACGACAGAAAAACATATTCAGACAATGATGACTCCAAAAACTCTAACACCACAGGGTAATTTTTTTTTACTACTATTAGCATTTAAGAAGATTTTACTATATGTTCGGATCTTTTTAGAATTAACAATGGCTATGAATAAGCTTCACGAGTCTTTGGTAGCGGTTGCTGGAAAGTTGCAAGGTGTGCATTCTAAAGTGCAACAGCAAAAGGAACAATACTTAAATTTTCGAAAGTATGTTTTAAAAGACAACAAGAATGTTTTCGAGGATATTAAATCAGACGGAAAAATATCACATAGTATAGGCAGAATTACAAGTGGGCCAACTCCATTTGGACCAGGTGATTGATTATTGTTCCCTTGCATCTTAGTAATAGGTTTTATATTAATATATATGCTATACAATATATTCTTACAGGAAATAAAAGTTTTCTCTCCTCGACAGCGTTAAGCTCTAATAGACCCGGAAGTTATGAAACACGAAATCCATTAGGTAAATGAAATTGTCACGTGATTTTATAGTATTAATATATTTCTCTTTTGAAAACGAAATCCCTAAAACAACGTATTCTCGTTGTTTCAACTATCCCATAAACATCTCCTACCTTCAGGTCTTGCGTGGATTTAGTATGAGGTAGATTTACTAACATATAATGCCCTTTACTAAACGCTGTAGAATTTTCACGTGTATAAATAGCAAACTTGTTGCAACTGTATAGTTTTACAAAATATGTTTCGTATATATTTTCATTTCTGTAATTTGATTTTGATTTTACCTTTCCAGGAAAAGAGTAAGGGATCTATTGTAGTTTATGAGGTATTCAATTTTGTTCCGTTTCTCTTTGTATTGTCAGTGATGGGAAGGGATGCAAAGCTTGTGTATCTAACATTTATTATTTATATGAAAGAATATACTTGTTTTCGCAATAACGGTACAATAAATATTTATCTTCTCTTTGTTTTCACGTATATTAGGAAATAGAAAATTATGAAGGAAAGTTAAGACATGTGTTGTTTAAGGAATGGCTGTATATTTTCTATGTGCTTTAATTGCTTCTGTCATCTTGATGATCATGCGAGAATGTTCGCGTTCACTAAATTATATAATATTTAACAGGGTATATGGAGTCTGTATCATGCACAAGAATTTTGCTAATATATTAAGGACATATATTCTTTAACTCTACAATGACGTTAGTATTGCTAATATAATTACATTTCAATGATATTTTTTTTTTTTAATTCATTGAAATTTACGCAGCTTCAGCTATTGTTCATGCAAAGCAGTGTAACTATTTAAATACAGATTCCAAATAATTCAGTATATGTGTTGTTACAGTTTGGGGAAATACAATATCAACATCATCTGCTACTAACATTACCCTAGGCTCATCATTGAAACCACCAACCGCAAGTTTGACTTTTAATACCCCATCAAACCTTACTGCACCTTTACCAACGACTGATTCAGGTTCGAGTTTTCAACTTCAAAAACCTCCCATTGGTAATAAAAGGGGGAAACATTGATAAAATAATTTTTATATTTAATGCTACACTGACATGTGTTTATTATATGGTTACAAATATCCGGCTTTTTTTGTCCTATTCTTCAAACTATTCTTTTTTTATTTCTTACAAAAACTGTTTACAATGATATCATTGTTTATTCAATAGTTATATGCCCATCATTTCGTTTCATTCCATTCCGTTTTCTCGATGGTACTGTAATAATGTTTGAAAGTACGTGGATTACGAATTACTTGAAAAGCTTATCTTCCGTGCATTCATATTTGAGTAAATTCTACACTTTTAATATATTTTCGTAATGGATAATTGTTATTATGTAATAACCATGTGATTCAAGTACAAAACATTTGTGAATTCATAATTTTCAGAGTTATTTATATTTTTTATATTATAAATCTATATACATAACTATTTTTTACTATAACAATTAAGAACTTAGTATATGTATAAATTCGTATATATATTCAAATTTCTCTTGGTCCCTGTAGCAGACACATACATCGGGGAAAAGACAGTGAAACGGTATAGGGGGCAAATCATCTTCAATAAACTGTTCATTGCTTTGTTCAATATACATATATATTAATGAATTGCGTATACACACGCGGACGCGTGTGTGTACAATTATGTATTAAAAGTATTAAAAAATATCTCTGTTGACCGTTACATAGCACCCACTTGTATAATGGGGATCAATAGTTTAAAGGCATCTTGGATGTAAGAACTTGCATTCGAAGCCTGTTGAAAAGAAAAATAATTAATGTCGCAAAATACATGAAACTGGTCAACAGAATATTTTCTTACCTCCATGAAAATTGTTGTTATACTAGCATTAATATCATCCGGTTTGTCGGAAGTTTCGGCAATGACATTTAAACAGCTACAATAAGTATTAGCTAGTACTCCAATTTGATTAGACAAAATATGCGTTAAACGAACTAATGCATCGGCCTCGTTAACGGTGCTTCTGTGTTCCTTAATTAGAAGCAACTCTGCAGTTTTGTGAAACCTTTCCACAGAAAAGGCTGTAAATTGTGCCAGAACAGAAATAGCATGCTCAAATATTTCTTGACCGGTGTATGTTATAGGTGGGGTGGTGTAAATTTTAGATGCTTCAAAAACCTACAATTAATATTTAACTTTATAAATCGCATCCAACATATTTCAGCATCAAAATTACTTACATCATACAATTTCTCATATGTAATATTAATTCCAAGGTCATTACAAGCTTCTTGCAATCTACATTTCAGATCTTTGTCATGTACCTCGTCCTCATTTTCATCATCTTCACCCAAATCACATAATTCTTTAACATCTTCCAATGTTTCTTCCATGGAATTTAATTCATTTGTATTCAAACCACTCAAGTGCTGTTGTATTTTAATGTTACTTTGTTTTGACAACATTTCCAATGCTTCTAAGTGAACAAGTCCTTGATAATCATCAAAAAGACTTTCAAAATGTACTTTTCTTATCTTCTGTTTCTCTTCTGCTGTTTTCTCAACAGTTTCTGCTTTTTCTTTCGCTTCGCGAAGTACTTGAGATAAATTTGGTTTATCTGTTTCATTCATGAAAAAAGCTCTCTTTTTCTTCAATCCTGGATCACCCTCTTGCAATACCTCCATTGTTTTTTTACCAATAGCTTCTAATGTATCCAATCCACCAGTCATGACTTTGCTCCCAGTTGATTCAACTAATTTTGTTATTGAAGACATACCCGATATTAGATTCCCAAATCCAAAAAGAGATTGTTCCTCAGGTTCTTCTTTTTTATCATCTGGAAATTCAATGAGCTAAAGTAAGTACATGATAAACGATTTTTAAACAGTTATTGTATATTAAATAACAGATAATTGTAAGCAGTTGACATTTATCAAATATATCACCAGCAACTGCAGAATCTTCTTCTTCAATTTCAGTTGGTGTAGATTCATCTGGTATAGCCATAGATTCTTCCAAAAGTGTAAGACCATGTGTTACATGACTAGTTAATGTAGAAACTCCAGCACTAGCTGAATTAATAAAAGAAGTCACATCCCAGCTGCCCCAACCCCAACCTTTCAAGGAATTGTCTGTTTCTTGGTCAGTAAGCGATAGTTTTTTAAATATTGGTTGTAACTTTTCTTCGGTTAGCTCTTCAGGTAATTCAATTTCCTTGCCAAGACCTTCCCAACCATCAGGTTTAAATACTTCTTTAAATTTTTTATCAGATTTCATCTCTTCTGGCATATCAGATTCGGTTAACTCTTCTGTTACTAAGAATTCTGTAAGAGAAGTATCTTCTGTTTTCATAGATGTACTTCCTTTATCGGTAGATATTATGCTACTTGGGTCATCCTTGGCATTATCACTGGATGTGATTTTAGTTCCTAATTTCTTTGCACCTAACTTCTGTTGCTTGCGATCCTTGGGTTTGCTATCTGATTTAGATGTAATTGTTTCAGAAGGATCTTCCATTTTGACATCTGTTTTAAGAGGTAACTCTACTTCATTTTTATTTAGATTTTCCTTTACTTCCAAATTTGAGGCTACCTCTGCAGATTCCTCTTTTGGTAAATCACAGGATGTAACCTTATCATTAACTTCTTCTAAAGTTCTGTCAGTATTACTAATTGATTCTTTTTTTTTTTTATTACGCGTATCTTTAATACTGATATCTTTATCAAGTCTTTTTTCGTCTGTTGCGGTATCAGTTCCCGCATAATATTTTTCTGTCCTTTTATTATACATTACATTCGCGTAAGACGGACGTGGTACATATTCTGTGTCGTCATCAGATTCGGAATCTATCGCAGTTGGTGAGCTCCACTGTTGAGACTGAATAATTCTTTTCGTTGATATATTGTGGTTCATCTCTTCGTCAGCACTTTCGAAGTCATCACTCTCGGATGTTGCCATGTTTATTACTTCGTGCGACACCAAACTACTTGTTCTCAATTAGAAATAACCGAAGAAAACTTTAAACTTTATTGCCATGAATTTGCGTTACAATCATACTTTAATTGTTGACGTCAACATTACAAGAATAAAGTAATAAACATTATAGTACTCGCAAAACACTGGCACATACGTTCGCATACCTGCGCCATACGTACTCGCATGCACAACTGCAGTCGTGTACACGTGTCCCTCTAAATAAGTAATAATTCATTCACTTCGTAAAATTCGTATTAACTTCATGGATTAGGGGAAATAAAGCGCGCATGCGAGAAAATTAATCCAGGGCCGGTGGAATTTAAACGCAATACTCTTCAATTTTTAATACATCTGTTCTTTATACTATAACTTGAACCTCACCAGTAAAACTGGTTATCCATTCCAAGATACATAAAAAAATTATAATCATAAAAATACACTTTCCATGTTACGGCAAACAAGCTATTTAAATGGCAAAATGCTGAAAAAACATTAGAAAAGTAGAAAACGAATAATGTTCATTTTTTACATTGATCATTAATTAATTTAATTGAGCGCAAAGTTTAAAATGAAAGGTTGAATCTTAAATAGAAGTAGAAAAATACATTATTGGTCCGTTCTAATTTTGATAAGACCTGGAAGTTACGAATAAAGGAAAACAAGAAGGAAGAAAAGAAGGAGGAAGCAATACACGCGAATACCACAGAAGCTTATGAGACATTCTTAAAGGGGCGCCGACGGATTACCATCAGTTTACTCATTCGTCCCGGATGTTCAACGGTCTCGGGTGCACCTGCGTTTAGAAGTTGTACGGTGGTGCCGCCAATGCAACATAACGGAAAATATGCGAAGCTATCGAAAGGGCATCGCGTTCGTCTGTTCCCGTCGCCGTTCGTGCACAGCGGTCAGAGACACGAGAGCTTTCGGTTAGTGGAAGGGGCAGTTGGATAGAAAAAGAGAGGAAGAAGGAACATACGAGTTTCGGTGGGGATTACGTTCGGTTCTCATCGGTGTACGGCGTTAAGGCGAAGAGGAAGAGAGAGTGAGTGAGAGACATTGCCAAGCGCACACGGTATGAACGTTCAGTGGCATGTTTCAAACACTCAACATGCTTGTAGTGGCGCGAGGTTGTAGTATCGTCGAAACGAAAGAGTAGTTTGTGCGTATTCTTGGCACTTGAAACAACGGACTTGACACAGTGCACAATTATTGCGAGGCAATGTTCAATTTGAGCAAAAGTGTCTTGCGGTAACCGTAACAGAGTGGCTCTATCCGTGTTAAGTAAAAGCGGAGTGAAATAGCGTGCGGGTGAACGCAAGACGATTTCTGACATTGCTCGAAGGAAGATCGGATACGTTGCTGGTATAGATATTCTCCACGCAACGAACGTAAAGTTTAGTGTAAGAAGGAAAAGGGAGCACGGTGAAATGTACTCGACAGCACCGGCATTAGCGTGCATTTCTTAAAGCGGGTCGCAGACGCAGATGCTGTCCCGTCTCTGCTCTGAGAAACTCGTCGTTGTTCCTGTTGTACGAAAAGGAGCACGACGTGATTGCGACTGTTCGTCGATACACTCGTACCAATTTTATTTTCGAAAATTGGTCAATGAAACGTCTGTGTAAACCGAGTTCGCAAGTGTTCCCCCCGTTTATTTGCCGGCACAGTGCCGTAAGTATTTCTCCAGTGAACCTGCTTTCCAATCGTGTAAAACCCGTAATTGTGTAAGAACAGTAGAAATCGAAGAAAGGTGCAGAGACAGAACATCACCACACGTGATGTAAAATCAAAGCCTCGTTAAACAGAGGTTCAGAGTGTAAATGGAAGTGAACCATAAGTGAGACGACAGAAGGGGTGAAAGTGCTTTTACAAAGTCGACGTCAGTTTTTTCTGTGGTGTGAAAAGGAAAAAAAATCATTCAAAGGCTGTGCTATAATATTTTTCTCCACCAAATTGGAAAAAGTGCCCAGTGTGAGATTAAGGGAAAAATAGGAAAAAAGTGTTACAATAATGTAACAAGCATCTGTGCACGCTCTCGTGCAAATGTAGGACCACGGTACTGTCTCAAGGCAAGATACCAACAGTGGACTTTTCTTCGACGGCCAGCTATGTTAACGGTGGAATTCCGCTCGAGAGGAATCTGAAGGCGGGGACTCTGACGTCACTCCGCTCATGATAATGAGGTATTCATGATGGCGGAGTAGCGCGCGAGGAAGAGAGAGAGCGCTCATGTATGTACATTTTATATACTACATGTGTATACGTATATGTAACATATGCACGTGCGCTCTCTCTCTTTCTCTCTCTATCTCTTTTTCTCCTTCTACGTCTTTCTCTGTCGACACGCACGCAGTATCTGTATGCGAGTGCGCGCGCATGTGTGTCGTAGCATGCAACACATCCTTTCTATCTCCATTCCACTGTATATCAGTGTGTATTACTATTGCGTGCCTTCTCTTTACCAACTTCGATATATTTCTCTTTGTTTTTCTTACGTCTACTATCTTTCTTTCTCTTGTATCAATACAGCGTGTATGTGGCACGAGGAGTGTGTGCTCGCGCGCACAAATATGTGCCTGTCGACTGGTCGGTGATAGAGAGTTTTGGATGGATTTAGAGCGCAGTGAAATATGCCAAGGAGACGGAATGGGGAGATACCGCTTCCGGAAGGGTGGGACGTCGCGCGAGACTTTGATGGAAAAGTGTATTTCATCGATCACAACACAAGAAAAACAACGTGGATCGATCCTAGAGACAGGTACGCCATTTTCTATGTATATGTTTTGTGTATGCACGTGTACACGTGCTAAGCTAAGGAAATACATACACGAGGAATGCATGAAATTTCCATGTAATACGACCCTTTAGGTTATACGTATATATATTTTTTTTAAGGTCATGATTTTTTTTTTTTTTGTGAATTAACGCGTGCACTTTAGCGTACAAGTGTTCGTAGGCATGTATAAACGAGAATGCGAAATATTTCTGACGTTACATTGCCCTCGTGTGAACACCCCTTAAGTTTCTCGTCGAACGTGTGTATCTACTACGTGTATGCGTATATTCATATATCGAGGACTCGCCGCGCCCGCATTCCAGTCGCCAGGGCCGCCGCGCTGTCGATGAAAAACTCGAGAAATCTGGTGACCACGGTCGAATGCGAAAATAAAACTATTATTCGTTTCAAATTCTTCCTGTTCAAATTATAGTTTTTTTTTAAAATATTCTGCTTGATCAGTTGTCAGAAATGAAAACGTTGAATTTTTAAATCTAATAAATACGTGCTAGCATTATGATATAAATATTATATTCTCAATTTATGAATTAAATCGCATCTTATAGGTGATTAAATGAATAATTACACTAGTGATGGTCAATTTCGTTTAAATGTAAATTGGAAGTAATAACATATGTATGTACATTTTATCAGATTTTCGTTTGTCGAACAAATTATCAATTCGTATACTGTCCCCTAAGACGGCGAAGGTAACGAATAGCACCCATTATCGTCTAAATGACTGAAATTTCGTTATAAAACTAGCTTGTGTCCACGTTGCCTAGATTAAAATACGTGCGTAGCCTCGGAACTTAGTGTAAGTGAACCATCTTACGGGGCTAACCGGTACATAACGAACATGCAACTGACCGGTACCTAAAAATAGACCTTGGTACAAGGGTATTACTCTTTCGATTTTGATATCGCGTTCATACATTGATCTCGTTACGTGAGCACTTTGCCTTTTCGACTTTCTTCCTCCATTTTCTCATTCGAGTTATCGTCTTGCAATTCGAGCGCAGATTACTCGATTTACGTTCGTTCCTGTTTTTGTTTGAACATTTGGCACACGAACAACAGCCGTATATACTTGTTCCGTGTGCCGATTTTCGTTCCTCGAAATCTCGAAATTTCGTTCCCGGAATCACCTAAGTTCGTCAATTGCAGGAATCACGCGTTTCTTTCGGCCGCGTATTTTCCCATCGTAGCGCATATTGCAGCGCGTGGCATCTGCTCGACATCTGTATTTAGGAAAATTCTTTCGCTAACGCGCATGCGCCTGCGTGCGCACACTCGCGCCTTTTGCCGTTTCCTGCGAGCGCGTGCTTCCGTTCAAGTATCAACTCACCTTTAACCTTTCGTTACATAACTTTTTGAAGTTTTCGTGCAAATTTTAAGTAAACGAGTGAGGAAAATGGTGTTTTCACGTTTATTATTTGAAGCGTCTCGGTACATAACCTAGAAAACGATGGCGACGACTGTCAGAGGGTTAGGAGTAGAGGTAGTGAATTTTTCAATTTCTTTGGTTATCCTTCATTCTTTTCTGGACGAAATTTATTTGTTATATCGTTTTTTTATTCGAACGAAATAAGATTGAGGGGTGCGGACAGCGTGATATTGCGTATACACGTGCGTGACCAAAGCCATGGCACGAATTACAAGGCAGGAGTGTTCCCAAACTTGGAAATTCGAAACATTCCTAGGCCATGACACATCCACGCACCGAGAGGGAACGAAGGCAAACAGAGATTCCTGTAAGCTGACATATACACTATTATTTTCTTCTTGGAATTTTTTACGCTCCAACTAAAGCTCCGGTTAGTTGACCATCCTCCGTCCACGCAAACAGTCATTATGTTGTTAGAAATATTTTCAGCTATCATTTGCAATCACGATTCATACGGTTAACCGGCTGGTACGTGACCGATCCTGACGTATCTTTACAGCGACTGTCCGTAATTAAATACTTTCAATTCGTTTCAGCATATTGGTGTTATATTTCTAATTAGAGACGTGCTAATGTTCTAATTGACTTTGATCTGGCATCGGGTAAGAAAGATGCTGTTTCTCGATCCGAGTCCTAATTTCGGATACCCGTGCAAAGAAAATGTATTTTCTGATTAAATATTGAAATGTCATAGCACATAGGAAAAGGGAAGAGAAAGTGTAAGAAATATGTTATAGCAGTAAATTTGTATAATTAAGCTTCGGTATATATTTTATTAATATTAATCGAAGTAAAATGTAA